ATTAGAGGTTTAGCTTAACCAATAAGATTCTTCCTTGAATATATTGAACTTCCTTATGAAGATAAGAGATATACAGATCCATAAGAATGGTTTGGAAAAGATGATTAAACATTCAATAGTCAATTTACAAATCTTCCATATCTTAAAGATGGAGATCATGTATTTAATTATATTATTCTTAGACTGTTTTCGAGTCAGATGCCATCTATTATTATGTAGCTCACAAAGCTAATAAACCAGAATTACTTGGCAAAGATGCTAAATAATAGACAATGGTAGCAACTATTAGAGGAGTCATAGCCGATTTAAAGGCTTCATTTTATGGTTGGACATATGGAAACAAAGAAACAGCTGAAGCCAAAAAAGAAGCAATGTTGCAAGAGACTGGAGAATTCTTCAGAGTCTTTAATACTACTTTAGAAAGATCAACATGGTTGACAGGAGATACAATTACTTATGTTGACTTTTTAGTATGGGAATATGTTGATGAATTCCTAGTATTAGCTCCTGAAGTGATTACTTCAAAACCAAAACTTGTCGAATTTCACAATAGAATTTCTGAATTCCCATAAATAAAGAAATATCTAGAAAATCCAAATTACATTAAAAGACCATTCAATTGGGACTTATAAGCCGTATTCTATTGAAAAAGATATCTTTTTATAAAACGAAACATTTATTTAGAAATTGTTATCATTTATCAAATTAATTTTTTTTATTACTCTGCAATAGATTCATAAGAATACATAGGAATTAATTTATCTGTTAATAATTAATTTTTAATAAAGTATATTATATTAATCAACTTGTAATTTTTTTATGTTGTTTGATCATACTTTAGATTTCATCAAGTACTCTAATTTTGCTTTATTAGACTTATTTCTATTAAATTGTGTAATCTTTAGTTTTTAATGCTTCTTTTTCTTCAAAAATTCTTTCACTTTCCATTAATTTGACTTTTTCCTCTAACTAGAATATTACACAAATTATTATTACATATTTTTATTCTGATTATAATGTTTTTTAGTTTTATTTAGCTTTTAAATATTTATTTTTATATGCATTTGTTTATTCATCACTAGAGAATACTTGCTTTTTCAATTCTTAAATTAATTTTTTCTATTCTTGTTATTCCTCTTTAGACTCATTTAGTTAACGAATCAGAGATTCAATTTTTTTTTCTATTTAAAGTAAATCCTATAAAAATAATAAAATTGATTACATCTTCATGTTATTATTTTAAGTAAGCTATATCTTTATCAGATTCATAAAGTAGATGTTACAATTTCTTATTTTCTTAATCAATTTAATCAATATCAAATAACATCTATTATTTTTCATTTTAATCTAATTAATATTAGATATCATATTAAGCTAATTTATCTTCATAAGTTTAAACTACAGATTTTTAAGATTCCAACTTTAATTTTAATTCCTTAACTTCTTAAACTTTAAAATTAATTTCTTTAAAAGCTTAGTCAGTTTTACTTTTTTAATCTTCAAGTTATAATTGCAATCTTAAATAATCCTATTTTTATTCTTAAATAATTTTATTAAATGATAATTCTTCTTTTTATTATTGATTATGTTATTATTCCAATAATTAGATTTAAAGTTATAATGATTTACTTTTATCTTTTTTTTGATTAATTTATTAAAGATATTCATTTTAAAGTTGTTACTTCTCTTATTCAATTTTATTGATTTCTTATTGATGACGTTAATTATTCAATTTAATGAACTTTTCTGTTTCATCTATTTTAGATATTTAATTATCAATTCCTATTTATAAGATTTTCTTTTCTTCTTATAATTCTTTGATCTTTTATTCCAATAATTGTAAATGTTACCTATCATCTTAAACTGTCATTTCAAAATATCTACATTAATCTTCTCTTTACTAAATTGCTTATTTTAAAATACTATTTTCATCTTTTAATATTAAATATCTTTTTTCATGTTCTTTTCTAAATAATCATTAAAACAATTACATTTCATTTTATTACAATTCATACATACGTTATACTCTATCTAATTCAACTTAAAAATTAGTTTTTTATTCATCTAATCTAGAATCCATAGTTTTTGATGAATCTTTAAGTAATCTGATTTTAGTGTTTAATTCTTACAATTTAATTTTTAATTCGTTTATTTATGTTAGAAGTTCTTCATTGCCTTTATTTTAGAATTCTACTCTTTCTTTTTCATATTTAATTAATTATTCCTCTTTTATTTATAATTATCTTTCTTTATCTTTTGTATTTTAAATATACTCTTTTAATGTAGCCTAAAACTTAGTAGTTGCAATACTTTTAATTTAGAATTAAGATCTTTGAGTTTATTATATTTATCTCTGGAAACATATCCAGAATTATTTTAAACAGTTAAATCTCTTCCTCCATTAGGAGAAGTATTTATTAATTGATCTATATCTGTTCTTCCTTAATAATTTCTAGTAAGAAGATCATTATTTGAACCTTAATTTGTTCTCATTTTTTAAATTAATTTAATAACAGCCAGATTATGTATGTAAAATTAAAAATTGTATTGTATGATGATAATTTAATATTGATTTTCAAACTACTTTAGGTGTATGTGACCCTTTAGCACAAGTTGGTATTTTCATAAATTCATCCCAATCATATTTTTCAACCTTTTGAAATAAATGAATGAAACTACTTTACAACATGTCCAAAATTTTTTAAGGTCATGGAAACAAGGTTCACCTGGATGAAAAAAGCATTCAGTATTTTCATTAGGATCATATTCTTTCAAACATCCTTTATTAGTACATTTATATTTTCCTGTTGGAGTAACAAATATTTATTTTTATACTTTAGCTAATATTGTATAAATAGAAATTAATACCTTATTATTATTCTAATAATTTCTTCTTTTCAGCTTCTTCTTTATTATAATCATCTATTTTTCTAACAGGGTATGGAGCATTAGTAGCAAAGTTATCAATTCCTAATATTCTAGAAATTACATTAATACCTTTTTATGCATTTTCAACTGTTTTTGATTAATAAAATTCACCACCTTGATTGACATCAATATTAGTATGTCTACCTACAGCACATGGTTCTATTTTAGTAAATTCATCCCAATCATATACAATCTTATTACAACATGTCCAACCTTTTTTGAGATCTGAAAAAATAGGTTTTCCAGGATGATGTTTGCATGCTTGATCATTATTTTCATTTTCATTGTAAGGTTTTTTACAACCATTTCTTTTACACTTAGTTTCCATTAATTAATAATTAAAAATAATTAATTACTCATCATTAAATAATTATTTATGATTTAATCAATTCTTCATGATAGATGTGTGTATGTTACTTAGTATAAGCCAGAAACAACTCTTGAATAATTGAAATAAGCATTCTCTGAGTTCGGAAAGATCGAATAATTATAGTAAAATGCTAAATCAAATGGAGTATTCATAGTATTTGATTCTCATGATGCAGGTACATACTAATTTAATAAAATAGTGAATAGAGCAACATCAAAGACAATTACAATAGGAGGAAAGAATTTAGATGTGAATGAATACTTAGATATGGACAAATTAGATGAAGAAGCAAATATATTTATAGATGGATTAAGTCCGACAACTACCCAATTATAATTGAAAGATAAATTATAAAAATATGGAAAGATTTTGAATATTAAAGTTTAGATGTCTGATAAAGCTGGTGTAGGTTATATCTAATTTGAATAAAGAAAATCAGCTGAATAATGTTTGGCAGATTAGGCAAATTTAGGATTGCATATAACAAGGTAAATAAATATAATATAGAGTTAGAGCAATCAAAAAAGGTAAACAATAACAAATCAAAAGAGATTAATTGTTCATATCTAATATTAAGTCATAATAATCTTTAGATCAACTTAAATCTTAATTGGATAATTATTTCTCTGAATATGGTAAAATTGAATCCATATAAACTAATGTAAATAATAAAAATTAAACATATTTTGCATTTGTAAGATTTGAAAATCCAGAAGATGCTTATAAAGCAGTTAAAGCTTCTAAACCTTTTTTAAATTAAATTATTACTATATAATGGGCTGTTAATTCAAATGATAATATTGAAGCAAATCTATATACCAAAAATCTTAAATCAACTGTTACTGAACAATAACTTAGAGAAGCATATGAATCCATTATTGTTTTAGATGATATTCAATTATTACCACCAAATAAATCTAATAAATTATCAGCTTATATTTATTTGAAATCTGCTGAAGATGGCAAAAAAGTCATTGATTTGGCTTTCAAAACTAAAAAAATATTTGATTTATATGACAAATTGACTGTATAAATCTCACCTATGTTAAGTCCAGCAGAAATCATCTAATTCAAAAAAACATAATAAAAACTAGCTTATTAAACTTATCCTTAACCTGTGCCCTTCCCTTATTAATAATCATTTTAATAATATCCAAATTATTAAAATCCTCCATATGGTGCTTATCCATAATAACCACCATTTTATCCTGGTTAATATCCTCCTCAATAACCACCTTATTAATAAGGTGGATTCACTCAATAACAAGGTAATTATAATCAACATAGACAAAAGAGAAATTATCAAAATCAATAATCTAATCAATATCAAAATTAACAAAGACAACACTAACCAAGAATGCCAGATTTACAATATTTATAAAGTTTGTAATCTTAAGGAAATGAGAAAAAAATTACTGCCATTATTGGAGCCATCCTGTTTCCTTTAGTTAGCTAATAGGTTGAATAAAAGTTGGTAATTTAACTATAATATCTTTAGGCACCTCAAGTGACAGGAATATTATTAGATTTTGAAAATTATGGATTAGAAGATTAATTTAAAATGCTTTAGGATGCAACTTATTTGAACGAGTAAATCAATCAAGCTGTAGATCTAATAAGAAAATCTTATTGAGTATATAAAATTAAATAAATACATATTAATATTTATTTCAAACTAATAATGTTGATTATAATCTCAATACTATTATTGATATTTCCTATGGAATTAATGACTTATACAATATGTTCATCAAATGAAACTATATTAGTTTCCAATTCTCATTTTAGACTTAAAAATTAAAGTAAAAAAACTAAAATTACAATTTAGATAATTTCGAATTATTTGAATAGTTCAAACCCTTCACATATATAAATGTAATGAATAATGAGTTACAAGATTATAATCTAACTTTAATAAGAAGAATATAACATTAAGACAAATTATTATTTTTGTATTAAAATAATGATTCTATATATATCAGAGTCTGCAAGCTAAATTTTGAAATTTTTAATGATACTTTAACAAATCATACTTGTATAATAGAAATGGAGGTATCCATCCAACCTATTGGAACCTTATTAAACGCTTACTTTTATAAACATTATCTCTACTTAGTTTATGAAGATATTTTAGATCCTATTGAGTATTTGATTTAAATTATAAATTATAATACTTAGATTGTACTTGATCAAAAAAGAATAAGAAAATAGAAAAATTGTATTTATAATATTGAAGAACTTTAATTTCATTATTTTTATTTTGCTTAATTTAATTGTTCTGATTGGGAAGTCTAATTATTTTCGATTGATACTTTTAAAGAATATAGGAAAATTAAATTTGATTATTTTTAAAATATATTAAGACAAATTCAATTTTATTTGACATCTTAGAAATTATAAATTACATTTGACAATAATGTCTATGTATATTCACCTAATATAGATTTTTTAGAAGAAATTTTTGTTTATTAAGATAGGAATATCCTGTTATATAATTAGGAATATTACATTTTAAGTACTATTTCTAAAACAGAGTATCAAAATGTAAGCCATAAAGCCATTATAAGAAAAGAGAGACCAAAGAAAGTTTTACAGTATTATACAAATTTGCTTTTTCTATTTGATTCATATATTGAATTATTCAAGAATAATGATTTATCATTTAATTATACTATTTAATTTGATGATGTTTTTATTTTTAAATCTATATTACCTTATTTATTAGGTGTAAAAAGCAATTAGATTATTTTACTAAGAGGAAATCAAATGAACCCATTATTTAGTTGTAATGAAAACAATGTCTAGATTGCTCTATTTTATAGAGATTTTAATTTAAAATAATTCGAGTGGATATTTACCATGAAAAAGATTGAAATTAAAAATGAACAGATTTTATTGTTCAATATATTTGAAAATATATTTTAGGAAACTATTCCAATATTAGTATAAGAGATTAAATAAGATTAATTAGAATTTTAAATATTCTTAGATAAATTTATTCTTGGTGGTCCTTTTGATATTTTAGATATTTAATTTAATTAGAACAAAATTATACCATAAGAAAATATTTAATCTTAAATTTGTAAATCTTTAGATTTTAGTAAAATCTTTTGGTGGATTTTATTCATATATGAAAAAAATATATAATGGGTTATATTATTCCAAGATAATAATTTATTTTTAAATTTAATTAACTGCGATTTATAAATAAAAAAGAAGCTTTTTAAATTAGGTAAAATTGATAAGAGTAATATTTATTAGCAAAATAATTTTATAATTATTTAATAAAATAATAAATTGTTATTTCTATTTGAACTTTAAATGAATTTGATGTATTAGTTCTAATAATTTGAATTCAAAAAAGATATAATATACATTTAACCAATTAATGGATATTTTTTTGTATATTTTGAAGACTGGGAATTATGTATGATTCATACAATAAATTATAATTCTAAATATTCTGTTTTATTATTCAATAATAAATTAAAAACTGATATAATTTTATACAAATAAATTTCTTCAGATGTTTTTGTTATTGCTACAGAATCATAAATTCTATTAAAAAGTAATAACTTTTAGCATAGTAAATATTACTTTAATTTATTATAGTTATTGAAGTCTCTGACTTTAATAATATTGTAGAAGGTAAATCAAAAGAATTTGTGATCATCCATAAATCCAAGATATAGGATTAAATTAATATTATTCTAAAAAAGTATTATCTACACAATTTTCAATTGATATTCATGTTTGAACTTCCAAAGCCAAATCAATCATTACAATTCATATGGCCAATATGTATGTAAGAAAATAATTAATTTTTAACAATTGCTGCTTAAGAAATCACAACAAATCATATATTTGTATTAATATATGAGATTTCTTAATCTTATTCAAAAATTTTGAAAGAAATTATTTAAGTTGATTGTTGTGGGTGTTTATAATTAAAAAAAATTAGTGTAATATTTTATTAATTTGAAAACAAAATATATAAAAAGAGCTTAGAATATATTAAATTTAAAGTATAGATGTAATCAAATTAATAATATCTGATCTAATCTAATAATATATCAATGAGATTGAAATCCAAAATCAACAATAGAATTCTAGACGGAGTATAAATTTAATTATTTACTTTTTCTCATCTTGAAGGTTTGATATTAAAGCAAAACGAAAATTTAATCCTAAACAAATTTGATACTATAGTTTTTGACCCAAGAGAAATTACATATGGTTATCTTTAAAATATTACTTCCTCATCAGTTACTATTACACCAGCCTTGAAACTAATAGCAGAAACTATATTAGAAGAGAAATAACCAAATGAATCTTATTATCCTTTATATGACTATTATAAAGTTATTCAGAAATTAAATACAACAAAAGTTGATGGAATTTTGTGTTGCTAAGAAAAACAAAATAATAATAATATATCATTATTATTTTTAGAAGAAAATGGAAATCACACCTTTATAATAAAGACAGAAATGGATCATTATGATATACAAATTTATAATTAAGACTATATTTTGGAGAATGATATTCATATAGAACTGGGTCAATGCAATAACATTTAATCAATAATTGAAATAGATAATTACTATTTTCTAATTTGTCAAGATTTGATAATTTTGTATGAAGTTAATTCTAATTAAATTTAATATATAAGTTAAATAAATCACTAATTAATTGAATGCAATATTGAAAAAGTCAGCAATAAACCATTTCTTTATTTAGCATATGACAAATAGTCTACATACTAATAATGTATATTAATAGAAATATTTTAAACTAATAAAATTAAAACTATTATTTTTAATATTGATTTTGAGAAGAAGCTAAATCTTCTTTCGGAATTATTCTTTAGAATAGAATTTAAAAATATTGAATTTAATGAAGATAATTACTTGAGTATGACTGGGTTTTATTTTAAGGAAAATCTTTATGCATAATTGTTTAAATTATTAATAGATAGTAATTAAATAACAAGAGTTATTCACTCTGGTATTATTAGATATCCATAGAATACAAAAATTAATAAATTATTATATTTAAATTAATTTTTAGTAATATTATTCTAGCGAACTACAACATATGGATATTTGGTATGTTTATATGATCTCCATGAAATAGAATAATTTGAAATTTTTGATTCTATATCATTACTTGAAGGGATCATAACAGATATAATGTATCAAAATAATTAATCTTTTATTTTGATTGAAATAAACTAAAATTATGTAATTAAAAAATATCATATAAGTTAATATATATTTGAATTTACTTATTAAGAAAGTGAGAATTATACAATAAGACTTAATAATTAACTAAATTCTATTGAAATGACTATTAAATTTTAAAAAGATTTGAATTTTAATTATTACTTAAAACTTGAAATACTATTTGTTAATATATTTTTGATATTGATATTATTAAATAGAAAGAAGAAAAGATTAAATTAAAAGAAAAATGATAGATATTGATTTATTAATATTTATAAAAATATAAAGATAAGACTATTTAATATGATTTATTACTTGTTCATAACAATAATATTATTTTATGAAAACTAAAATGATAATAAAATTAAGTTTAAAAATAATCATTATCTAATAATAGCTTCAAAGCTTTCTAGACTAGGAGAACGANATGAAGTTAATTCTAATTAAATTTAATATATAAGTTAAATAAATCACTAATTAATTGAATGCAATATTGAAAAAGTCAGCAATAAACCATTTCTTTATTTAGCATATGACAAATAGTCTACATACTAATAATGTATATTAATAGAAATATTTTAAACTAATAAAATTAAAACTATTATTTTTAATATTGATTTTGAGAAGAAGCTAAATCTTCTTTCGGAATTATTCTTTAGAATAGAATTTAAAAATATTGAATTTAATGAAGATAATTACTTGAGTATGACTGGGTTTTATTTTAAGGAAAATCTTTATGCATAATTGTTTAAATTATTAATAGATAGTAATTAAATAACAAGAGTTATTCACTCTGGTATTATTAGATATCCATAGAATACAAAAATTAATAAATTATTATATTTAAATTAATTTTTAGTAATATTATTCTAGCGAACTACAACATATGGATATTTGGTATGTTTATATGATCTCCATGAAATAGAATAATTTGAAATTTTTGATTCTATATCATTACTTGAAGGGATCATAACAGATATAATGTATCAAAATAATTAATCTTTTATTTTGATTGAAATAAACTAAAATTATGTAATTAAAAAATATCATATAAGTTAATATATATTTGAATTTACTTATTAAGAAAGTGAGAATTATACAATAAGACTTAATAATTAACTAAATTCTATTGAAATGACTATTAAATTTTAAAAAGATTTGAATTTTAATTATTACTTAAAACTTGAAATACTATTTGTTAATATATTTTTGATATTGATATTATTAAATAGAAAGAAGAAAAGATTAAATTAAAAGAAAAATGATAGATATTGATTTATTAATATTTATAAAAATATAAAGATAAGACTATTTAATATGATTTATTACTTGTTCATAACAATAATATTATTTTATGAAAACTAAAATGATAATAAAATTAAGTTTAAAAATAATCATTATCTAATAATAGCTTCAAAGCTTTCTAGACTAGGAGAACGAAAGTTAAATCTGTTATTGTCTAATTCAGCTGTTAAATAGGCATATTTTTCTTATAATTCATAATATTCTTTATTCAATTTAATAAATTTTTATTTCCAAGAAGTTTCTGTTGGATGGATTTTGGATATATTTTATAAACTATTCTTTTTTGATTAAATATCTTAATAAGTATGAGAAACAGTTAGACTATTCATTAATTAAGAATTCTCTCTTAATAATTATAAGACTTGCCTTTCTAATTCAGTATGATCATGACCTTATGATTTTTTAAGATTTTCAATTTCTAGAATTCTTTAACTAAATCTGTAATTTAGAATAATACTTGTATGATTCTAACAATATTTGCACTTATTAAGTTAAATCTTAAATTTATTTTTATATTTGATTGGAAAGATTATTCTGATTGATATCTATAATTAAATTAAATATTACTTTCTTCTAATTATTAAATATGTGATTTCATCATTGATATTTCTTAATCTTTTGCAAAAATAATTTTCTTGTAATGAGATTCTCTTTGTTTATATAAGTCTATTTATTAATTATGAAATTCTTCATTCTTTTTAATAGCACTTGTTTTGTCAATACCAGAAGGAGTGGCAACACGTATTAATCTTCTTGGAGTTTAATTAATAGATGAATTAGAACGAGATGTTGAAATAGTATTATTATGCTGTTAAAACATTAAAAATATTAATTATCAAAATAACATATATTCTTCAATATACATTAGAAGATCATTTTCTTAAAAAATAAGATAGGCTCTACATAAAACATCTTTAATAGGTAGATTACTTGATTTTGGTAATTTAGATAAACAACCAATTAAAATTTATCTTCTTTATGATATTTATTTTTTTTCAAGATTCTTGCCAATAGCATTATTTTAATTGCCTTACATAATTTTATCATAATTAAGTTTAGTCCATAATGATCTTGCATATATGAGATTTCCTTAAGATTAATTCTTCAATATAACTTCTCTTTATATTTAAGCATCAGGTATGAATTATTTCCAATCATACAAATAATCATCATAAAATTGATTAGATTCTTTAATGACTTATGTTTAAACATTTTCAGCAAAATATAATTCTAAGAATTTAGTCATTGATCCATCATGAAAGAGTGTTAATCTTTAAATAGGAGTCAAATTTGTATCAAATTAGTTATATTGCATAATAATATATATTTATTTTATATTTTGTATTTATTTCAATATCATAGATTTGCTGCAATACTGAGTTTATTACAAGTATCTTCTAATAAACTTAGTAAATGTTCTTCAGATTATTCTCTATTAATTATATAATTAATATTACCTTGTTTTCTTTTCTTAATCTAATTCTACTTTTACTCTATTAACAATATCTTTAAGCATTTCAAATATAGATTATTCACTTTCATCTCTATTTCTCTTTTCAACATTGATGAGATTACTTAACTTTACTAACTCATCAGTAATGGATTTCATAACCTAAATGTTAATATATATATAATTACATTCTAATCCGATTCATCTCTTTCATTGGCTTCATTTCTAATGGCTTCTTAGATTTTAGGTAAATCATTTTATAATCCTTAATGAATTCCTTCAATAGCATCAACTCTAGATGCTGTTTCCTTTTATACTTCAGTTCTCAATAATGCTGTTTTATCTTCCAATAATCTTAATACTTTAGTTTCTCCTTCTTTTCTTGTTTATGTTTCATTTTGAATAGCATTTTCAAATTTCTTTTCTAATGCTTAAACTTCTCTGTTTTTAGTTTCATTAGCTTATTCTTTAGCCAATTTATCTTCTTCTACTTGTTTTTATAATTTTCCTAACTAAACAAATATAAGTATAATAAATTACTTAATCTCTTAATCCATTTAATTTAGTAAAGATTTATTCTTAAAATTCATTGAATGCATCTTCAGCTTATTAAATTCTTTATTCAGCTTATTCAAGTTTTTAAAATCTCTCATTTTCTACTCCAATTTAAATTGTGGATAATTTCTCTGAGATCTTTTGAATTCTACCACTTGAAGGTGATGCTTAGGGATCTAAAATTGTCAATTTAAATTAATACATGAGACTTAGGATCTTGAATTGTACATTATATTTAATAATAATAATAAAATTTATTTATGAATTAATTTGAAAAATATTGGGTTTTGAATTATATTTTATAAATAATAATCATCATTTAATACAATCTGATTTATTTGTAAAAGATGTTAATAATTAAGATCTTTTAAAAATAATAGATGCTTTTGTAGAATCTTTATCTCTTGATCTTGAAGTAAATAGAGCATTACAATCAGATTCTAATCTTTCTGTTTTACTACGATGTTCTGATTAAGTTAATAAGGCTTTGGATTATATCTTTTTTAAACATAATTACTTTAAATTAGATTTATTCTTTTTATTTATTTTATAATATTTACTTCAATTAATCTGTTAATATTTTCAGTATTAATTTCTTAAACATTAGATTAAGGTTATATCATTCTATTTGCGAATTTTTTAAGTTATAAATCAAGATATTCTTCATTATCTGTTTTATTCTTTTTATGAAAAGATATTGATGATTATGATTATACTTTAAGGAGATTAGGAGTATAATTATCGAATTATTTAGACATATGATAAGATTTATCTTTTAATTGAAATTTCATTTTTAATGTATCTGTAACATTTCTACTTGTTTAACCTAAAAATTTACAAGATTTCTTTAATAATTTATTTCTATTCATAGGAGTTGAATCTTCATCATTAGTTGTTTTATTGTAAAGTTTTTCAGGTAATTTTTCTTTGATTCTAAATTGAGATGCTTTTAATTGATTAAATGCTTTAAATCTTTCTAATAATGTATGTTAACGCTTATCTGCTTAATTAAGTTCATGTAATAATTCTACGAATTTAACACCATCTTTCTTAAAATATTACAACGGTTTATTTCTTTATCTCTATAATTATTCCTTTGCTTTTTAAACTCTTTCTTTAAAATCAGAATCCTAAATATTCAATCTATATTTTTAATTTAATTCTTTATAGAACTTAGCTAAATTCTTCATCTAATATTTAAAATCATTTGTGAGCATTCTTTCATTATTCTCTAATTACTATTATATTTCATCATTTTCATAATCCAAATTTAATTATTTTTAATCTGCAATTGTATCCTTGTTCTAATAAAATACTTCATATCCTACATTCTGCCAACCATTAATACATTTCTAAATTATTATTTTAATCTATACTTCTCTTTTTTAAACTGGAACAAGAATTCTACAATTGGCAGGTCCATCCTATTCGATTGTTGTATCCCATTTACATACACGTCTTTTTGCAAATTACATGGCAATACTTTTATCGCACTATAATATACTATATATTTATTTACATGATTAAGTAGATACAAATATGTTGCTGCTTTTGTTGGAGATAGATAAATGTCTTTCTATTGAATACCACCTAATTTTTAACAATCTCTGAAATATGGTGTCTTATTATTATTTAATAATATATATAAATACCTCTTCTCTTTATGTCATATAATAAATTAATTAAAAATCATTTTTTTATTTTCTAAAATGTGTCTTTTTCTAATTTACATAACATATTTAGGACATAATTAAAAATAATATATATATTCAAAATGAAATACATTAAAATGATTGATATCTTTGGTGTTTAATATAAATAACAGATATCTTTAGATTAAAAAGAATAAAAGTCTATTCTAAGTGGAATATGTTCAATTATTGTATTAGGAGCTAGTTTAAGTTATTTTATATATGTACTGAATGAATGGTGGAGTTCAAAAATATTACCAAATTCAACTAACTTAATGAAAGTTCAGAATTACTCTTAAATTTTATATAATGAAGATGCTTTATTTGAATTTTGTTATTGGAAGTATAGTGAAGAATAAGTTGATCCATTTAGATTATAAAATAACATATTAACTCCTATTGGAATCTACTTTATTAATGGTATTCCTTAAAAACCATTCTCTCTATTAAATTAATCATAAACAATATCACCCTATAATACAAATCTATTAAGAGTTGATAATCTTTCTTTAGTTCAAAATAGTGGTTTTGATAATGATTTAAATGATACTACAGAATTAATGATAGTAATAACTTCATGTAATATCACTCTATTGAATAGTGGTTATGAATGTGCATCTGATTAAGAAATTAAAGAATTCTTTGAAAAATCTGTAAATTATATAAGTTTTTGGTTGAATTTAAAGTAATATGATTCATATACTTAAAAATTCTAAGTTGTAAAAAAACAATATTATTTAACTTTTGACTCTTAAATCTCTCATTAAGGTTAATTAATACTTACTTAAACTTAAGCTACCATAGATACTGGTATTTTATTTAGTAATTATGAATCAAAAAGCTTTATATACAATGCTTAATTAATAACAAGTGCAACATCTAATCAATTTTGGTCTACTCTATTAGTTAAGAATTCATATCTTAATTTATTTATACGACTTGATCCAATGTCTATTGATACTTAGATTGTATATCCAAAATTAGGAGAAATACTTGCTTAAGTTGGATCAATAATGAGTATGTTAATGACTATTTAATATCTACTAAGTTATTATAATGAATAATTATTGGATTTTGATGTTATTGATAAGATTTTGGGTTTTTATTTTTTAGATTATTCAGAATTGAAAAAATCAAAAGAAAAAGGAGATATGAAAATATGTAAAGAATTAATAGAATAAGCTAAAAAGAAATTAATTTATATTAATATATTATATGAATTGTCTAGAATTTAATTATTTCTAATACATCATTTTGGAAGAAATTAATTGTATCATACACATTAATATGGTATATAGGCAAAAGAAGATATAAAATTAATTAATTGTGATTAAGGTGTTGATAATTCAATTACTATGATAAAGATTAATGGAAATAGAGAATAAATTGATTATCATTTTGATAAGGAAGATTTTAATTTATTAAGTAAAGGAAAATTAAATAATAATAAGAATAATGAAGATTTAGTGAGAGTTTATTAAGAAGTTGGTAGTTCTTCATTTTAATCTATTTAATTATGAATTTTATTTATAGATAAAGATTAAATTGATAATAGAATTTATAGTCAAATAATCTTATCTTCAGTTTAATATGTATATCCATCAAAAAGCATTTAGATTTCTTTAAATTTAAGTTATTTAAGTTATTCATTAAATAATGTTTATTGTGAATCACTAGTTTTTTGATATGGTCTATTCCTATCTTCTTATTTAGGTTGATATGGAGCAATCATTGTTTTATTTATCAATTTTTCCCATTAAAATGTATTAAATAATTTATGATTTTTTAGTTCTTTAATCCCATTTTAATAACCTAAACGATTTTATTATTTTCTCACAAGTAATTTATTTGTAAATTCTATTAGATTACATGAATATTATAAATATTCTTTGGCATTTAATTAAGCTTATTTTCCTAACATTTCATCACGTATTTCTTTTTTTGTTCTACCTAAATATGGTCTTTTACCAGTTATCATTTCATAACAAATAACACCTATTGCATAATAATCAACACAATAATTATAATTTTATTTTAGTATTATTTCAGGTGCCATATATCCAGGAGTACCACTTGTTTCATTACTATTTTCATTTTTATAATATCTAGCAATTCCAAAATCTGTTATTTTCAAATATCCCTTACAATCCAATATTAAATTTTCAGGTTTTAGATCTCTATGAATAACTTAATAAGAATTTATGTATTCTAATCCTAGAATTATACAAGCTACAAAAAATTCTATAATATTTTTATATATATAAATATATACTAATTTATTCTTCTCTAAATGTTTTATTAAGTAATATATGATATCTAAGATCACCTCCTGATAAATAATCAAGGATTAGATATAAATGATCTTTATCTTAAAATGATCCTACCATATTAATAATAAAAGGATTCTTAAGTTTTTATAACAGCTACTTTTCATTCATAACAGATTTTACAGATTTTTTAGCTAAAATTCTCAATAAGATAACAAAAATACTTTGTTTTTTTTAGTTCTTTCATTGCATATATCATTCTAGTTTTTTTTGATTCAACTTTCCAAACATTACCAAATCCTCCTGATCCAATAATATAATGGAAAATAAAATTATGTCTAAATTTCTATTATATTTTCTATGTTTGAAGTTCTGAAGTTGCTTATGTACTATCTTAGATCTAAATTTAAATTAATAATAGAAATACCATAATAACAGTACTAGTAAGATTTAAGAGAGGCCTTTTTAAGGATGATGAATTAATTTCTTGAAGACCCATATAAAAAGATCTATTGAATCTTTAATTGACATTTGGACTGTGAATTCGAGGTTGAGAAAGATTGATTTCAAATTATTTAGGTTTGATGATTTCTCTATATTGAAGTTACACTCTTTTTGGTAATTTGGATCCAATCCTAAAGTTTAGGCATGATGGAGATACTTCTCCCATTGGGATTATCCAATATTGTTTTATTTGGTCTGACTCTCTTGATCAATCGAGAGTTTGAGTTTCTATTCGGAGATGCTCTTACATAATATTGCTAATCATTATAAATAAAAATAAGATACAATTTTAGATAGGGTTATGAAAACTAGGACTTCTATGTAGATAAGGTTTTTGAATGTTGATTTGTTTATTTAGATAAGGATCTATATAGGATTTATATTGCATTAAAATATATAAATAATCATTTAATAATTTACAATTTACCTTGAATCCAATCTCCTTCTATGACACAACCTGATTTATTTAATATTCCATGACCATTCCATTTGTCATTCTTCCAATAACCTTCATATTTTTAATTATCTTCCCAGAAATATTTTCCATATCCATTTTTATAATCATACACATAATTTCCTTCATATCTTCTACCATCATTCCATTGATAATATCCTTGTCCATGTAAATAATTATTCATAAATTCACCTTTATACCAACTTCCATTTGCCCATTTCAATTCTCCTACACCATTAAAACTATCTTATTTAAACATCCCTTCATATTTGCTTCCATCATCCCAAATATATATTCCCATACCCGATTTTACGTTTTGATCGAAATTCCCTATATATTAACTATCATCATCATAATATTCTTTCCCAATTCCAAGTTTATAATCTTCACACCAATAACCTTCATACTTATAGAGATCATCAACCTTATAAATTCCATAACCATTCAATTTATTTTTCTTCCATTAACCTTCTATCACAAAATTATTACTCACAAATTTTCCATTTCCATCTAATTTATCATCCCTCCAGTTACCTTCATAATAAGTTCCATCTAATTAACTATATCATATACCTTTCCATTCTAATCTACCCACTCCATTTCTTTTATTTCCAATCCACTATCCATTATAAATTACATTCTCATTATATCTATATGAAGCTCTTCTAATCTAATTATCCATATGACTAAACTCATTCAATTAAGGAAGATTGTCTATATATATTCTATGTATTCCCAACACAGGAGATTTCTTAACATAAAGTATAGGAGCTTATAAAATTTTCAAATCCTCTTGGTTTTAAATATGAGTAGATTTACATATACCCATTTCAATCAAATAATATTAAAAAACTAAGATTTTAATTTAAGACCCTTCTGATCATATATATATATAATAACTTAGTCTATATAAAAAACTTATTAATTAATTTAAAAAATGTATGATCATCAATTCCAATATTGGCCCATTTTTCAGGAAAACGACTAAACTAAATCATTTTGGAATAAATAACCTTAATTCAATATAAATCAATCTATCATTTCTTAATTTACTATGAATCGAATAACTTGGAAATGTAGTAAGCCTACTGAATATCAATTTTTATTGAATTAAGAAGGATTATTATTTTATTAACATAATAATAATAAACCAAAGGGTTATGTATTACTGAATCTAGATATCAGTCTTAAAATCATAGACCTTAAAATTTCTAATAAAAAAACTGATCTTGTAAAAGTAATTAGAATCAAAAGAACTAAAGACATATTTATTTATATTTGGAATAATGATTAGTAAGATTATTAACTATCTCTTCTTTAGAAAATCTACCTTTTAATTCTTCAAGAACCTTTCTTAATTCTCTTTTATCTAAAATTTGGATTAAGTCTATACTTTCTCTGATGTCATTGCTAAAGGAGGTTTTTCCAAAGTCATTTAACTTACTCCAAATATTCGTTTACCAAATTAACCACTTAATTATGCTGGTAAAATATATTATAGAGAAGAATTGATTTAAAAAAAGGATTCATAAAAATTTTATAATTTCATTCATTCGGAATGTTATGTACTTAGGAAATTAAATTCACCTTATATTATTAAACTATTTGAAATAATTTAACTTGATGAAATGTTAAGTATATATAATAATAAATTAAATTATAGTTTTAGTAACAGAATATATTAAAGGAGGATCATTATATTAATACTTAAAAGAAAAAAAAAAATTAACTGAAATTGAATCAACATAAATCTTACTTAAACTTACAATTGCCCTTTAAGCAGTTAATAGTATTGGTTATGTTCATAGAGATATTAAATTGGAAAATGTATTAATTGATAAAGATAATATAAAATTAATTGATTTTGGTTTTACTGAGAAAATATAAAGAGATAGATTATAAAATGGATAAGGAACAGCTGGTTATATAGCACCAGAAGTATTTATGAGATAACCATATTAAGAAGTTGGAGATATATTTAGTTTAGGTGTAATATTTTATTCTATGTTATGTGGAAGAGCACCATTTAGATCAAATACATATGATGGATTATTGAAATTAAATAAAGAATGTTAAATTGATTTTTCAGAATCTAAATTTGTTAATGTAAGTTAAAAAAGTATATATTTGTTGAAAGCAATGTTATAAAAATAACCAGAAAATAGAATTACAGTTTAGGATTTATTGGTTCAATTATAAGCTTAAACATTAGTTTCCCATTTTGGTAATATAGTTTCTACTTAATCTATTATTGAAGGTTCTGTGGGAATGAGTTTTAATCATTTATAATCCAAAAACACTTTAAAATCATTTTATTAATAAAGTTAACATTCAGCAAGTGAACATTCAAGTTAATTATCAGAATATAAATAAAAAAAAAGAAGATTTAAAAGTTAGAGTATGGATAAAAAAGGATATTTTCTAAAACAATCCTCATTCAAACCATCACTTAAAAATATATATTAAATGAATATTGAATAAAGCAATGAAGATAACTTATCCAATGATAATTAAGAGTAGCCAATACAAGAATAAAACCTTTATTTTTTATAATTTTCTTATTATTAATTAAATAGATAAAAATTTGTATGATATTCAAATTAATTATCTTCATAAATAAAAAAACTCAATTTAATATTCTAATATTTTAAACCTCTCTTCTTAATATTTTAAAAAATGCATTCATTATTTTCATTAATATATCATCTTTTATCTAAATAATTAATAGGGGTATACAATTTAATTAAAAAAGTAGATTAATTTCAACCATTATAAATATATATTAGTTTTAATTACATCATATTTTTTATTTGACTATCATTTCATTATCCTAGAGTATATATGTATATAGAGAATTCTTTAAAAAATACAAATAGGTTTTTCTAATATTTATTATTAATCTTATGATCAATATTTATTATACTATAAAAGCAAATCAATATTATAATCTAGTATTTTCGTTTATACTCTCTGTTATTGAATATAACATTATATAATGCTCAATAATTATTCAAAGTACCTAAATTTTGATAATTAGACTGCTGACTTAAAATTTACATAAAAGACTAAATAACTATTCTAATGATTGTTTAAGTGTTATATGATAATCATCATATATGGTTGAATGTTTTACAAATTATTCAAGTGTAACTATCTAATGAATTTTATTATTCACAATAACACTATTTTACATTTATTAATGAATAGAATAAGAATTTATTCATAGCGTAATCGTTACAATAGTATTGATGAAAGTAAATTCAAATCCACAACATATCGACCAATTTAAGAAAAAAATCTGTAATTGATAAATAAGAATACTCTCATACTTTATATTAACAGAATTTGTAAATATATTCAAGAATTACAATAATATAAGAATGAAGGATATATTAGGAATATTCTTAACAAAATATTTACATCAACATCAAATTTTAAAGATATCTAAGAAATATTTAACATTCCTGTTGTTCATTTAAATCGTGATATTTTACTGAATAGAACCATTCACTTCATAAACACACTATAAATCAAACCTTCTTAGTAAACTCTTTATTTATAAAATTTTATGAAATGGTTCGCATATTTGGATGAATTACTCTATAGTGAAATGGAAAAAATACATGAACATTATCTTTGTGGTATATAGAGTAAGATAGTTGATTAAATAAAACTTAATAAACTTAAATAAGTTGAATTAAAACGAACTTTAAATCCAAAGAAGAAAGAAATCATTTAATATATAAACTAATTTTCTATAAAACCAATTCATAAATAATTTAGTTCTGTCTAATCCATAGAATAATACGAGAATAAATTTGGAGAATTTGACCTTATATCATCATACTCTAGAAATTATGCTAAATAACTTGACAAAATTAATCTAGATCTTAATTAATATTATTAATGATAAGAATACAATTTGATTTTATTAATGAATATATATAATAATAATATAAATATATATAATGTTATTATTTATATTCATAATGTTTTTCAACTTTATAAATCTACTACAATCTTAGAATTGTTCGGATTTTCAACTTGAAAATGATTAACTATTTTATTACAAATAAAGTTAATCTCTTATTATAGAGCAAGATGATTAAAATATAAATAATGTTGAATATAGAATTAATTACAATTTAATTGAAAGATCATTTACATTAATGTTATTATCCACAGGATAAGTAATTTAATCAAAGGTTATTGAATCTTTAGATTAAAAATAGAGATTATAAAAATGGATATGTAATTTAATTGTATAATCAAGTTATGTTATCACATACACAAATGTATTTGGAATAAATGATACTAATAATGAATAAACATAAAATAATATAATTGAAATTGAAATTGATTCTAAGTTTCCAGAAATATGTGAAGAATTCTTTGGATACAAAAATAATTAATTTATTGTCTTTTGTTATTCCATAAATATTCTTAAAGTATATACAGTCTCTATTTATAATAAAACAACTTAACTATTATACTAATATAATTTAGACAATCTAAATATAACTTCATGTTAAAGAACTTATTTAGAACTAATGAATTTCTAATTCATTATAACTTTTCATAAATGTGAGAATTGGAATATCATCCATTTAGATTTGAATAAAGTACTTTTAAATTAAACTATTTTGTAATAAATAAATACTGATATTCAAATAAAGCAATTAGATGATATTCAAATTTGTGTAAAATAAATAAAGTAGAATAAATTAGTTTTAATTGAAAATAATTTTTCTAGTTAGATTTATATTTTTAATTCATACATTTTCTTCGATTGGATTAATTTGTAATTTATTTAACATAATATATTTGAGAGAAAGATCAAGAAACTGTTATTTAGCAAATCATGTTTATTGCAATAAATCTTCACTCAAACAGATACAGGTTAAATATATATTTGGAAATCTGAAATAATTACATAATTTAATTCATCCTATTAAATACATTTTATAAATGATCGATTATTCATCACTAAAGAAAATGAGATATCATTAATATTAACAAATAACATTAATTACACAATATAATTACTAAACTAAACAATCTATTTTGTAAATTCTCTTAATTACTTTTATTAAATTGATTAAGAATTAAGATAAATTTAATTCTATAAGTATCATTCTTTATAACCTTTTATTAAACCTACTAAAAAATATATTTATATATATAACATAAATTTATAATAACTCTCTTTAATTTTTGTATTGTGTTATAAAATTGTTAAAATGAAATAAAATGAAGAAAATTTGTGTAAAAAATATGCATAAGAAACTAATTATTGTTAATCTGAAATTTAAATTCCACTTTCCAAATATATAAAAATTAATAATATATATTATGAAATTTAAGTTCCAAAATAATTTGAAACACAATCTCATAATTAAAATTATTTAGATTAGATTTATTAATGTAAATTATCATTCTATAAACTTAATTACACATTACTAGCATATTCAAAAATTTCAGCCGTCTTTAGAAAAAATGATATTCTTAGATACACATCTTGTAATTAGAAATGTCCAGATATATCAATTAATATTTATGGAATGTAATTATTTACTAAAAATAATTTATTATGGATATTTAAATTAGGAATAAATGAAGCAAGAATTTTATCATTTGACAAAGATGATTGTTTATCAATAGAGACATTTTATATTGAATATGTTCCAGATAAATTAACTTAATTTGGAATTATATTACTTATTTAAAGTAAAGCTTAACTACCATAAATTTTTGAATTAACTCCAAATCCTCATTCATAGATTTAATAATACTTATCAGAAAATCTATTTCTAAATGAAGATATTATTTTCTATAAAAAATATCGTAAGTAAACATATATTTAATATTCAACTATTTTAATAGTAGAATAGGAATAATCAGTTAATTATGTAAGAATTTAGGATATATAAATTATTGATATAAATGAATATGGTTTTGGATTTTAAACTATTGGTGTACATTTAAATTAAAACATTATCATTCGTTATTACTTTTAAAACTATGAGATACAACTCTCTGACAATGCTACTTTTTAAGATTTTACTTTTGTAAGACCCTTAGTTTACTTAACTATTAGAAGTTATCTGATTTTACTTGCTATTAAATCAGAATAAACTTATTTATTAATTATTTAACCATAAGATTATTAATAAATTTAATGGTTAACAAGTATTAGATGTAATAATCAAAATTTCTTTTTTTAAAATGAGAATTTAGTATATCGAGATGAAAATAATTTAATGAGATAAATAGATATCGAAAACATTTATCTATAAATTAAAAATGTAAACTATACTCAAAGTAAATTGTATAATGAATATACTTATCCTATTTAAATTGTGTCTAATACAATAGGTAATTCTAAAGAATGTTAGATAATTATTAACATAGAAAATTAATGCCAATAATTGTTATCTAATTACTATTTTGAACATAAGTTGATAAATAATAATATAGTATTGCCAAAGTATTTTTATGGTCCAATCTTTAATGTTTCTATTACTAATAATACTAATTTAAAATTACTTGGACCATTTTTAAGAACTCAACAATTATAAGTATGCAAATCAAGATATGAAATTAACTGCATTTTAAGATCTAAAGTTTTAATTAATCATATTGATGTTGAATGCTATAACATAGCATTAAATAATCAGATTCATCATATTACTTGTTAGATTCTCAATGTCAATATCAATTAAAAAAATGATTAAAAATTAAAAATATTTTAGATTTCAAAATATCAATTAATTTATTTTTGGAAGGATCAAAAATTTATTTATTATCAAATTTTATTTTATGATAATATAAAAGGATCCTTTATATCAGAATAAATTCACTAAATTGATATTGTAATTAATAACACAAATTCCCTTTAAGTCAAAAAAATAGGCAAATTAATTATTCTTCATAATGAAAATCAACAGAAATTATTCTAATTTTAATTTAATCAACTAGTATCAATTTCATCTAAATTTGAACTCAAAAATTCCATTAGTTTTTAGAACAATGAATATCTATTTCTTGAATATTAATTAGTTAAAAATAATGATTAATTAGAAATTTTATTAACTATATTAAAATTAGAAGAAACCAGTATTTCAATATTAGGAGTTATCACCTTAAACTATCTCCGACTCTCAGATTTAATAACTCCCTTAATTCCATATAATTAAATAAACTAATATTTCAATTATTTGAAAATGAGCGATTTCATGGTATTAAAATGTAAATTTGAATAGAATTCTATTTAAGTTTAAATAGCTGAGAAATTATCTAATTATTTAATTATCTATGATATATAATTTAATAGACTATACTAATTTGAATAAGGGATGGTATCTAAATTATTTAGAAATATACATCAACTAAATAACCTAATTTATTTGGAGAATTCAACTCTCATTTCTGAAAATTTGATTTTTGATTTGACATTAGAAAAATCATTTTATGACCCTATTCATAAAATAACTGAAAATGATTAAAAAATTCACCTATTCAATACTACTCATGTAATATTTGAATCAATAAATAATTCTGAATTTTATTTTGGATAATTTGGTTATTAACTCCAATTGTTGAATGAATAAAAAGAAGTTGAAAAATTCNTGCAAATCAAGATATGAAATTAACTGCATTTTAAGATCTAAAGTTTTAATTAATCATATTGATGTTGAATGCTATAACATAGCATTAAATAATCAGATTCATCATATTACTTGTTAGATTCTCAATGTCAATATCAATTAAAAAAATGATTAAAAATTAAAAATATTTTAGATTTCAAAATATCAATTAATTTATTTTTGGAAGGATCAAAAATTTATTTATTATCAAATTTTATTTTATGATAATATAAAAGGATCCTTTATATCAGAATAAATTCACTAAATTGATATTGTAATTAATAACACAAATTCCCTTTAAGTCAAAAAAATAGGCAAATTAATTATTCTTCATAATGAAAATCAACAGAAATTATTCTAATTTTAATTTAATCAACTAGTATCAATTTCATCTAAATTTGAACTCAAAAATTCCATTAGTTTTTAGAACAATGAATATCTATTTCTTGAATATTAATTAGTTAAAAATAATGATTAATTAGAAATTTTATTAACTATATTAAAATTAGAAGAAACCAGTATTTCAATATTAGGAGTTATCACCTTAAACTATCTCCGACTCTCAGATTTAATAACTCCCTTAATTCCATATAATTAAATAAACTAATATTTCAATTATTTGAAAATGAGCGATTTCATGGTATTAAAATGTAAATTTGAATAGAATTCTATTTAAGTTTAAATAGCTGAGAAATTATCTAATTATTTAATTATCTATGATATATAATTTAATAGACTATACTAATTTGAATAAGGGATGGTATCTAAATTATTTAGAAATATACATCAACTAAATAACCTAATTTATTTGGAGAATTCAACTCTCATTTCTGAAAATTTGATTTTTGATTTGACATTAGAAAAATCATTTTATGACCCTATTCATAAAATAACTGAAAATGATTAAAAAATTCACCTATTCAATACTACTCATGTAATATTTGAATCAATAAATAATTCTGAATTTTATTTTGGATAATTTGGTTATTAACTCCAATTGTTGAATGAATAAAAAGAAGTTGAAAAATTCAATTTAGTAGCCAAGAATAATGTAACAACTTTGTAAGTTGAATTAATGTTAATTAATAATATATAAAATAAAGAGATATTTATTTATTTTATACTATTATCAATTGGCTTTATAATTATAATAGCATTTATCATTTATTAAATCAGAAGATAAAGACTGAAGATTAAAAATTATATTAAAGCTCCATAGTGAAATATAAATTTATCAATGTTTAATTATTTTATTTAATTTGATATTTTTCACAATAATTTTATTATTGTATTTATATATTGTTTATTTTTACTTTGAATTAGAAAATGGATATATTCTTATTAAATAATTTAAAATTACTAGAGTTTTAGGATTTTGAATAATAAATATTCTTAACTATTGAAAAAAAGATAGCTTAAATATTTGAGATATTCAAAAATTATAAATAACATTTAATTGATTATTTAATCGATATTAAATAATGATTATATGATTATTAATTTAATTTTTAAGTAAACATACAAAAACTATCCCAATGTGATTATTAATTATTTAAATTTAATAAAAATGCCTCTAGAAGCAGCTGTAGTAGTATTGGATAACTCAGAATTCTCTAGAAATGGTGACTTAGAGCCATCTAGATGGAATGCTTAACAAGAAGCCATTGAATTATATATTAATGTAGTTATTGATTCAAACATGGAAAGTGGAATGGGATTGATTTTAGGAGGTGGTAAACAAGTAAGATTATTGATGACTCCAACAAATGATAGGGATTTAATTTAAGGATAATTCCATAAAACTAGATTAGAGGGTAAATAATTTAATTTAATAATTAGGTAATTTAAAGTTTTCTGTTGCACTTCAATAGGCATCATTAGCATTAAAACATAGAATTAATAAATAATAACATCAACGTATAGTAGCATTTGTTGCAAGTCCAATTGAAGAAGAAGTAGATACTTTAGTAAAGTATTAAATAATTTAAATAATATTAGTCTTGCAAAGAGATTAAAGAAAAATAATATAGCAATTGATTTAATTAATTTTGGAGAGTAGAATGAAGAACATCTTTAGAAATTGAAAATATTCTTTGAAAATGTATAGAAAGGATCATCATCAAAATTTATTAATATCTAACCAGGAATGAGTGCAACAGAAACATTATTTTCATCATTAGGAAATTATTCAGATTTTTAAGCTGAACCAGGATAAGAACAATAAGTACCATAATAAAGAACAGGTGGATAATTCTCAGAATATGGTGGAATAGATCCAAATATAGATCCAGAATTGGCAATGATAATGAAAATGAGTCTTGAAGATGAAGCATTAAGATTATAATAATAATTAGCTTAATAATAATAATAATAATAACAATAATAGAATTAATAACCTTAATAATAGACTTAATAACCTTAAAAAGAATAAATATAAGAAGAGAAGATTGAAAATTTTATAGAAGAAGAAAATGATTAATTATTAGAATAAGCTAGATTATTAAGTATGTAAGTAGAATAATCTGAATAACCAGAATAACCAGAATAAAAAAATTAAAATCCATAATAGCAATAACAATAAAATTAGATCACATAAAAGTAATTAATAAATTAATTATATATAGGTAATTATTCTAAGATTAAAATTTCCTTGATGAATTATTAGATGATGTTAATAAGGATGAAGAATAAGAAAGTCTCCTAAAAAAAGATAATGACCAATCTAAGAAAGATTGATAAAATATATAATATAAATGACTATTCATAATCAAATAATTTAATTAATATTAGATATCTAAATAACTTATAAATATTATATTATTAATGATTAATAATGGAATATTTAGACCAAAGAGATTACCTACTGCAACAAGAAGAGTAAAATCAACTTCAAAACCAAGTATTGATTCATTAATGTTTAACAAAATTAATAAATAAAGTGTAATATGTGATTCATAATACTTTCAAACTTCAAGAAAAACAACTCGACCTTAAACTTCATTATAATTACCAAATAAAGAATCATTATTTGAATTACCATAATATTCAAATGATGAAGAAACTAAAGAGTCTAAAAATAAAGATGTTTATTATCATACTAAAATGAAATTATTCGCTAAAAAGTATTCAACTACAATGCCAACTCACATGAGTACTTAATAATCAATTATCAAATCTTAACCATTAATTTAAACCATAACAAAAAGAACTACTAAGACTAATAATTCACTAACTAAATCTATCACAAAAAAATAAACAATAGAAGTTGTAAATTAATAATAAATTCTCCAACCAACTACTATGAATATTAATCAATTATTCTCCTAAATTTAATAAATAAGACAAGAACCTAGATTATTATAATGCAATCTAGATAATATTAAAACAACCAAAAAAATATTGTAAATAAACCTTGAAGAAATAAAAGCATTATATGATGAATTAGCACATTTAGATGTCAAATTCATGAAAATGACAGCAGATACTGAAGTCTTTATACATAATCTATATGCAGATAAAAATAAATTCCTTAAAATTAAAGATAATGTATTAACAGAACATTAATTATAATTTCTAACAGATTAACTAAAAATTAAAAGAGAATTACTTGAATAAGGTTAATCATTTGATAGTATCAATTTTGATGAAATTGATAAAATTGTATAAAAACTTATATTTTTTGAAAGATTTACTAAATCTACAAGGATTAATCTAGTTAAATTAGGCTAATATATAGAAGTACCTCCAGGGGAATATGTATTTCATTAAGGTGATTTTGGAGATAATTTATTTGTTATTTTATCAGGTAGTGTAGTTGTTAAAATAGAGAAGAAATTTAATTAATTTGGACCTATTATTGAATAAGTAGTTTCATCTCTCTATGATGGCTAACATTTCGGAGAGTTAGCAATGATGGAAACTACTTAAAAGGGTTCAGAAGAGGTACTTGAAGAGAAATTAGAAAATATAAATATAAAATCACTTAAAGAAGTTAAGGAATAACTCATTAAATAATAATTATAGGATCTAGGATAATAAGATGAAGCCTTTTAAAAATAAAAAATTAAAGAATTACAAAGACAAAATACTAATATTATTAATTTGGTTAAGGAGGATAATATTAAAGAAAAACATTATATAATGAATTTAGCTAATAATGATGAATTAGGTTAGTCATCTGGATTGACAAAATCTAATAATATTTAATATAAAAAAGTTGATAAAGTTTAATAAAGAAAAGCATCAATTTAAGCTAGTGAAACTTGTCATTTATTGGCCATTAGTAGAGAAAATTTTAAAAATATACTTATGGTTTTGATGTAAGATGAATTAGAATAAAAAATTAAAATGCTTAAATCTTTGAGATTCTTTAAATAAATTCAACCTTTTGTTTTAATACCTTTAGCTAATTAATTAATACCATAAAGATTTCATCTAGATGAAGTTTTGGTTAAAGAAGGAGATATTTTAGAATATATGTACATTATCTATAAAGGATCATGTAATGTTATTAGAACAATAAATACAGAAAGAATTAAATTACCAGAACATTTTCGAAAAAAAAAAATAAAATAGAAAATCCTACAGATATTATTAAGAACATCCTAAAAAAGTTATTCATAATGAACCTTAAGATTATTTGTCTTGCTTAACATAAGATGGAGATATCACATATAAAATTCCTGATTATGCTGTATGTAATAATAATAATGGATATATCTAATATTAAAAGAGTTATATTTATAAAAAATTGTATCCTGGAGATATCATTTTTGGAAGAGTATTAACAGGATTAAGACTTGAAGGTGATAAAGGTACAGATAGAGCAAGAATGACTGTTGTTAGTTCATCTAGTACTACAATTGTTTATAAAATTAGCTTAAAATTAATATAATTTTGCCCAGAATTTTTGATTGAACATCTAACTAATTAACTCTTAGTTTATAAAGAAGTTGATCTTATTGAAAAATCTGAATTAAATTAAGAAATAAGATAAATCTACTCTAAAAATTCAAATATAATGAAGGATTAAGCATAATTGCTATCAGATATTGAAGAAAAATAAAGAAAATTAGACTTGCAAGAATATTATAAAAGAAATAAACTTAGAAAACCTTAAAATGAGAAAAAATAAGATCTATTAAATTTAGAATGGGAATTATTTAAAGAAAAAGTTATGGTTCAATAATTGTTATATAATAAAGTCTCAAATTGATTATTTTTTTATTGTAAATAGGTGTTATTAATCTTTTGAATTATGATATTATATTATCTTTATTAAAAAGTTTACTTATATTTTAAGTTAAAAGATTTATGAGAGAGAGTATTCATTTGTTTTATTTCATTAAATTATTCCAAAAACAAAAGATTTCTCTAATAATTTAAATTGTATAACCTAATTAATTTATTTTTATTTTATAAATTTAATAGATTAAATATATTATATAAATCTATCAATTTAATTAGATATACGATTTTGTTTAGATTTTTCAATTTTTGTGATTTAATAATAATAATTATATTACAACATAAATAATATGAATATTATTTATATAAATATATTATAAGATAATTCAAAAAATAATATATTTATGACATTAACTCTTTCTTTCAACAATTACAAGGTATCAAAAATCCTAAATTTAAACTATTTGCCATTCCAAAAATTGAATTGATTTTTAAGGAGAACTTAATTTAAAAATAATTTATTTACTCTTCCTTTAAATTATTGTTAAATAGTTAAAGATAGTGCAAACCCTCTATAAAATATAATGATTGAAATATAAGCAAACTAAGAAGAAAGTAATAGTGGCACAATACTTATTATTCCATATATGATGAAAAAGTCTAAATTTTAATGATATTTAATAATACTCTTTAGTTTCAAATCTTCTTTTTGACGTAATAAATAGATGATTAATGTTGACGTTTCTAAAAAGAGTATAAAACATTAGTATCCAACATCATTTAAAATTAAATTATCTTGAGTTTTTAAAGATATATCATACCTTTATCTATTTAGATTGGACTAATTTCAGAAATTTATTAATTCATCACCTCTAATTATTAAGAAAATATTTAAGCTTCTAAAATTAGGATTATAACAAATATTATATATGATTTAGGTACCTAATATTTTAATATGGCATAATTATTACTTTTTACAATGATTAGAATCTAGTCATGATAATAATCCCAAAATAAGTAAAAATCAAAAATGTGCTAACACCCTATTCAATATTGGATTTATCAAAAAAAATATTCGATAATATAAGCATCTAAGCTATAAAATGTTAAATAAAATAAAGCAAAAGAGCTTTCAAACCTACATATTTCTTAAAAATAAATGATTAATCCTTCAATAAATCTGAACAATTTTGATTTGATTCTATATCAATACTTTAATAATTTTCACTCCCTGCTGGTTGATTTACTTAATTTCTAATTTAAGTTAAGATTCATTACAGTGATGAAGGTTTGATCGTATTCAACAACTCTTACTAATCTTTTACTAATGGTGTGGGGCAAACTTGACTATTTCTCAAAGGTTCCATAATTTAAAATTAATTTTTTTCTATTACTATATATATATTTATCTATGAATAAAAATTTTGTCTTAAAATCTTTAATAAGAAGGATATTAAAAATATACTATTGGCATTTTTTATTTTTGTATTTTTCAGATGAATATTAATATTTCAATTTGGAATAATTTAAGTTCTATTCAATTCTTTGAGATCATTATTGTTAAACTTTAGTATCTGTCTAATATTCATTAGTATTATAAGAATATGATTAGAAATCCTCTTTTTTAAGATAGTTAAGTGATATATGATGTTTAATTTTTATTTATGTTTTTATAGACTTTATTGATGATTTAATCCATATAGCCTAGATAGGATGAAACATTTGATAATCAGAAATTCAATTCAAAGTATCTAGATAAAGGAATAATAATCATAATAATTGAAGAGTTTCAATATAGAATATTCAGACTCATAATCTTATAAAAAATATAATGATTACCATAAAATACTTGATGCTTTTATAAATCATTATTCATTATATATTTTAAGGATATTATATGTCTTATCAATATGGATTCTTGTTCTTATAAAATCTATTAATTCATTAAACATAAATAATAATCATGATTAATATTATATTTATATCATTCATTTTTATTATTATTAGTAATGTATAACACTGAAGATTGTTCTCAACCAAAATTTGAAGATTTAAAAAGTATTTATAAAATATATTAAGATTTAAAATGTGCTAATCCAGAGCATTAAATCGTATTTAATTAATTATACTTGATCAGAATCTAAAGTAAAATTAAAGACTTTTATGTTATCTTGTATAAAAGATTTTGAGTCGAATTAAAAAACTATCGGATTTGAGAGAGCAATTTTATTGACTTATGAAAATTACTAAAAAAAAAAGGAATTAAGAGATATAGTACTTAATGAAAATATAAAATTACTTGAGGAGTTAAAAAGCAGCTTCCTCTCCATAAAGACCTTTGTAAACTAAATAATAGAGGAAATGATGTAAACTACATAGTTTTGGATGAAAGATTTGAATTAAATCAAATCATAATAATATTAATTTTATGATGAAATAGATTAGTTAATAAATTAAAATTAGAATATTGAAATCGATTAAATTGTTCAGGAAACCAAAATACTAAATAATAAATGGATTTCAAAGTTAAAGGAGAATATAGAATGGTTTTCCAAATTTAAAAATTATTCAGATTGTGTAAACAAATTGAAGAATTTGTCAGAAGGAAAAGTTGAGAATTCATAATTAACTAAAGATTTGGGTTTAAAATGTCAGCAATAATAATAAACCTTATAGTTAGATTGTAAAAGAGGAAATAATTTATGTTAAATTGTTGATCTTAAACAAGAAAAAACGAACAATTAACCATAACAACAAGGAAAAAAAAATTCACTACAAAATTATTAATCAATAAAATACCCATAAGGACGTATTCTGCACCTACATAGGTAGTTTGCCATTAATTATAATATGTATACCCAGGTAAACTTAACTAGAATAATTGTAATATAAACAATAAAAATGTTTACAATGTAACAGAATTGCTTCTTAAGCTTAAACTTTGAATGAGATAAATATGATTAAATGTAATATTTTTTCATTTAAAATAATATTTTTATTTATTGCTTTAATTCTTGATAAGCTTAATTTAAACATTATCCTAATATTAATATTAATCTTAATCTTTTTTTTCTTCTCTTATTGGCATTAACTGACGCTTTAGCTCAAATGAGATTAAAATAAAAGAATATAAAATATAATTTATGATAAAATACAATATCAAAATCATAGATTAATAAATATAATTAATTTGTCTTAAATTTTAATTTGAGTGTTTTCACAAGTTATTATACTATCTTTTAATCAAATAGATGATATTAATGAATTTCTTTATTTTTAGTCATTCTGAAAAACCATTTCTCAATTCTATTTTAAACTCATTTTAATTTTATTGTTATATTAGATTTTACTTATCCAATATCAAGAGTACTTGCTTGATTAATTTTATTTCTATTATTAATTTCTAATTTTATTATTTAACGGAATCTAGTGAGTATTTATAAATATTGATAATTTATGAAATGAAAAATTTAGTTTGTTCTTTTTTCCATCTTTCTCAAAAAATTATAAATGTGTTATGAGAGAGTAGTATTATTTAACACTTATTTAATAGCTTAGGGAATTTGATTCTTGCTAAGTTCAATATTTGAGCTAATTAATTATAATTTCTTTTATTAATAATTCTTCTAGAGATTATTTTGTCATCTGAAGTAAATTCTCTTATAAACAATTTATTGAAGCTATAAGATTTAAATTCTTTCGTTTTAATTTAAATTTAAGCACCGTTTACTTACTTTTTTTAAGGATTTTTGCTTTCTTAACTCTTGAGTTTTTGTTGTCTCAAACTAAAAATATGATAATATATAGTTTGCATATATAGTCAAAAGGTCAATATTCAATATTCTGTTACTAATCAAATTATTTTTATATGTCTATTTTTCATAACTTAAACAAATCCTGTCCATAAATGGATTTTTTGAATTAAAAAAAAAAATAATCGATTTTTATTAAATCTATAGAGAGACATCTTTGCAAATCTGAAATATTCGAATCCTGATTTTTTTCAAATATTAGAAATAAATCATTTATAAACTGTTTTTAATGATTATTATAATTAACTAAATTTAAGATGAATAAAAAGATAACAAGAAATCAATTTACACTAATCAATAATTACAATATTTATTAGGAGTTCTTTTAGAAACTTATTATGGACCTCAAATTGATGATATCAATATTGAAGTACTTTTAGCAGAGAAATTGTTAAAATTTTAGATAAAAGGACAAAAAATGGGGTATTGAAGGAAACATACCCCAAATAAAGAATGGATTTTTAATCTCTTAAAGACTTTAAAAATAGATCATTGAATTGTTAAACCGAAGATGAAAATTATCTAATTGGATGTCAGAAAATTCAAAACTGAAAATGGATTAAGCTATTATATTTGTTATTTTTTTAGAAAATATTAAAAATTGGATTAATAAATCGATTTTATAACAAAGATCTAGTTTCAATCCAAGAAACAGTCTCAAATTATCAAAATATTTAAATTTAGGAATGAAATTTCCTATTCAGAAAAATTTATATTAAATATATATATTCTAATATATTTAACAGATCTCCTTAAATTTAAAGGTATGTACTTCCTCATTCACTAGATTTGAGATTTTAATAATTTCAAAAAATTATACATCAATCAATAGATGATGATATTACAACTAATCATATAATTTATGAAGATGGTTCTCCCAAAAATCAATTTTCTCTTTTTAATCTTCATAACATTTCCTTTTGCAGATTAAACAATTTCCTTTTTTGTTAGAAATTAAATAAATATATTTGGTTTTTCATTTATAAAGTATTTGATTAGATCTTATGAATTTTTATTTTAAGTAAAATCTAATATAACAATAAAATTAAAATGAGTTTAAAATAGAATTGAGAAATGGTTTTTCAGAATGACTAAAAATAAAGAAATTCATTAATATCATCTATTTGATTAAAAGATAGTATAATAACTTGTGAAAACACTCAAATTAAAATTTAAGACAAATTAATTATATTTATTAATCTATGATTTTGATATTGTATTTTATCATAAATTATATTTTATATTCTTTTATTTTAATCTCATTTGAGCTATATTAGAAATATTTCTCCTCTAATAAAATATATTTCAATATCAATAATATTAGTTTAAATATTTAATCTATTGTATTTTTTCCATTATTCAACTCTAAAAATTAAGATTCTTTTATTGAGTTAAACTGACATATGTTATATTGATTTTTGCGACTGATTTCACTCTAAAGGAAATTAATAATATAAACTTATATTGCTTATAGGATTTTTAGTTTTTGTCTATCAAATCATCATTAGATAATATTTTCATTATTTTATTGTAGTACAATATTTATCAAATAGAAATGATATGAATAGGTAATTTTTGGAAATTTTAATAAAATGTATCTTGTTAAGATTTAATAGGATTATAATTTTTAGAAAAAGCAATTTCTATTTTATTTTTTTCAAATGTTTTCTAATTATTACCGAAACCTTAAAGTCTGAAGTCAGAATGCTGTCTAGGTTGAGAGGGGAATTTAAAAAAAGAGACCTTTCTACTCTGGGTTAATAAATACAAATATGATTTTACATATTAAGATTATATGTAAATTCAATTTAGATAAAACTCACTTAATAATCTCAACCCTCAAATAATTAAAAAAATCGTAAAACTATTTTAATTTAAAGGGTTAATTAAGGATTGATTTACAAAAATTATTTTTATAAACTTTAATTTAGCTATTCTGCTTATTAAAATAGATCAAATCTAAATAAAAATGTATATATTTAGTTCAATAAAGTTTGCTATTTATATTAAAATATATATATAATAGAATAATAATTTTATTCTATTAGATACCAAACAAATGGAACTATTATTAATCAAATCTAATTTTTAATTAAATGAGTCAAATATTAACTTAAAAATAATCATAATAATAAGAATAAGCACTAATTCAATATTATATTTACCAAGACTTACAAAACTTAATAAATTTAATATAATCAAGAAAAGCTGTACTTGATTATTTTTAGAATGATTTAAATCATCCAATGGTTACCTCGAGTAATAATAAAATACTTTTGTAATTAAATTTATCAAATGGAATACATTTTGATTAATAAAAATAATATTCTAAAGATAAAACCCTAACTGACTTTTTGAAAGAGTAAAGGAAGAAAGCTTATGAAATACTTAAATAAGTTATTGACAATAAAGATAATTTAATAAACAAAGGAGATTCATTATATTAATCATTATAAACATACAAAAGTAAGTATTAAAATTCCTAATTTGGATTGAATGAAGAATATTAGTTACAACCAACTTAGTAAGATAATAAATTTGACCAAAATGTATTATCGAAAATTATTTCATCAATCCAAACTGTTGATTTTGATATCAATTAAATCTAAGGTTATTTTCCTGTTCCAAGTTAAAAAGAAATATTATAAAAGGCCAAGTATAAACTGTATTTTAACTTAGTGATTATCAAAACAAAGCTAAATAGAAGTTGATTGAAAATTTTCCAAAAAATGGAAAAACTAAGAGTTAAAATGGGAAAACTGAATTTTAAAATCCAGTTTTTATTGAAGAAGAGATGTAAAAAAAAGAAAATGATAAACACAGAAAAGCAGAATTAATTAACTTTTTATTACTATAAGGATATTTTAATGAAAAGAAAATTCAATATAATTGTTACAATTTAGTCTAAGAATAATTTAATTAAATAAAAGACTTATTAATTACTAGTATTCAATAAACCCCAGAACTACAATTTGCTAAATAATTGTATAAAGACAACAATAAATTAGAGGACGAATTTAAATTGTTTTTCTTTTTAGAATTATTTTAAGAATACTAAGAATGTTCTCGAACAATTTAGGATAAGGAGAAAATTAAAATATTTAGAAATTCTATAAACGATACCAAAGACAAAGCAAATCATAAGCAATTCTTTTGTTATTTAAAGAAGTGTGAAAATTTTATTCTTTAATAGAACAATCATAATTTACCTGAAGAAAAACATTTTGATTAATTATTTGAAATATTTTGTTAGTATATTTATTGATAGAAGATATAAATATTGTTTATATAATTAGGATTAAATTGCCTAAATAAAGATTACTACCAAATTTACATGTTAATGATTTTTAAGGTTGATTAATTCATAAAATTATCCTTTTTGATTAGCTTGAGATCTTTATGATTGATATACTAATTATAATCTCCTATACGTTATTTATTGATTATAAAATATGAAATCAAATGATGCAATATTAAAAACTGTTTTATTATTACATTCCTAAGTTTATGATGAGACATTTACGTAAATATCCCAAAAAGCTAAAGGTAAAGAGAAGGGTAAAGGAATGAAGATGGTTCAGAAAAAAGGACATTTGTATTATTATGTATGTAATAAAAGTGAATTGAAAAATGTGACGAACTAGACAATGAGCGTTATAATATATTTATTAAGTGTAGACAGTATTCTTGAAAAATAGAAAAAAGAGAAAAGATTAAGAAAAAACTAATTTTACTAAATATCTAGAGATTTTTAGCTTTATTTGGTGGTATTTTTTAATTATTATTAAAAATTACCTTTTACATTTAAAAATTGACTAAAACTCATAAATATTTTAATGAATTTAAGATGGGCTTTTAATACTTTTAAATTCTATTCTGATATAAACTAAGATTTTATTTTTAAATTACTATTTGTGTAGTTAAGAATAAATTATTAAATTGCCAGATTAAAATATTGAATTTTAATCTTACTTATGATAATTAAAAAGTATTTTTGAATTTTTTTGATCTTAATCAGTATTAACTCAAAACGGTTTAAAACATTAAACAAGCTAATTCCTAAATCAATAAAAAAATAAAATTAAAATTTTTTCATGATAATCTCCATACTTAGTTTATTATAATAAATGTATTCAAGTTTAATCAAAATAATCTTCATTATAATTTTTCATACTTAGGAAACTTAAAATTATAATTTAATATAAATTACATGAAAATCATCTAAGCAAGTTTAATTGGAAGTATATGTCTTTAAAATTCCTCCATGATATTTTGAGTCTCTCAACTACACAGTAATACCATTTAAAATATAGATAGATTTAATTTTGAAAGGAACAAATTTGGCAAAAGTAGTCTGATTTCCAGAACAGATCTTCCATAAGTCTCCCTAAAAATTGCATTCGCTATAAAAATCAACACAGGGTTCTAAAACCTCTATTTTTATATCTCTAATTCCCCATGATTCTAAAATTAAATTGTTTTATTTACCTTCACTGATTGCCTACAAATTATCAACTAATTCAAACTTCACATAATTCTATCCTTTTGACAATATAAATTAATATAATTTCTTCACCATTAAATCTGGGAAATAAGAAAGTACACACATGGGTGTTCCTTCATAAGGGCCATAACTAATATTATCAATAAGAACATTATCCTTATAAACAAAAACAGATTCATTATCCCAAGAATCAAATTTAGCTAATGTGAATGAAAACTTTATCTATTTCTCTGATGGACACCAATATGTTCTTGATATTTTTCTTCCTCCTGTAAATGATCCCATATAATTTATTCCTTGACATTCAACTACTTCATGAGCATTAGTCCAGCTATTATCAATACAATCAGATCCAGGTATCTATACACAATCTTTATAGAGCAGAAAGGGCAGAGGAAATATGATTTTTATAAATGAAACCAAAATCATTTCTATAATATTTATTTATAATTATAATCTATATTTATTGTCATCTTTATAAAAGAAATCCTTAATTTTACAAACAAATAATTCATCAATTAATGATTTTTTGATTAAAAGAGTAATGGATAATTCAGTTCGTGAAATTCAGAATTTCTATAATTAATCTATAGATCATAATAATAATGTCTTGAATTGATTATATCACTATGGGAATAAGAATTGCATCACAGATTCATTATTAAAATGACTATTAAAAAAAAAACAAATGAATTATTTGGGCAAATTTGCAAGCTTCTTCTTTTCTATTTTAATAAATAAGACTTAATTAGTTTGCATTTTTGGATTCTAATCTTAATATAAACCAGAAAATTAAGGATGCAAAAAATGTTTAGTATCTTTAAACTGTTGATAAATATATCAAATGTTGTCAAAAAGTGATAGTCAAGCTTAACCTTAAATCTATACAAGTTTAAATTGGATAAATAGGATCATTATCTGTAGATGTTTCAACTAGAATCAACCATTATAATCATTTTCTGCTTAAACTGAAATTTTTTATCCTTGCGTATTACTAATATTATGGATGCAAAAGTAAGCAACCTTTTTGATTACTCATTGGTTATTAGTTTAAGAAAGACTTTCTATATTTTGATATAATTTATGGTGTTATAAAATCATAGCAAGATAGAAAACTGCTTTTCTGATTTAGTTTCAAATTATTTTTCTTACTCAATCTTTATATTGATTAACTTAATAGCCCATGGGTATTTTTCAATAAAATACAATGAATTTCACTGTTATATATTTATAGGATAAAGAAACACCACCTTACTGTCTCTCTATGAATGTTTTTTAATTTGATTAAGAACTTAGAACATTCGTTTGTAAAAAATTTGTTATTTTTTTCCATTCTATTTTGAGAAATTATAAATTTCTTAAATTGACTGACCCATAGGGCCAAAATAAAATCTGATAAGGAAAATTATGGCTTTAAAAAAATTAATAATTTCATATCATTAATATTTTTTTATTAAGCATGACCAAGGTGGAAGAAAAAAATTATTTAAATTGAGTGTTTACTGCTTTGTTGCAGTGAAATTATTATTGAAAATTGCGGGTTAAAAACTCGAGATATTTAGATGAGGGTGGATTATTCTATGATTGCTTAAATATGATTAGACATTAAGAGTATTTATTTGTAAATTAAATGGAAGGAGAAAATAAAGTGATTGGACAGACTTGATAGATTCTTCTGTTATAGATTACTACGCTACTTAAAGGATATAATGAAGCTGAGAATGGTGAGTAGTTGGATTTTAGAAGGGTACAATTTGGATAGTTGGAGTAATTTTTAAAAGGAGAATAAGAAGATTAAAATAAAAATGAATTAAAAGAATTTATAATAAAACTTGATTGGAATTGATGGTTATGGTTAATTGAAATGTGAATTGTGTTTGATAGGAGGACATAAATTTTTTTATTTACTTGTATTTTTGAAATACTTATATCATCAACATACAAATTAATGTTTCACAAAAATATGATGAGTTCTCATTCAAATATTTAGATAATAAATGGGACATTAAATAAGTTGTATAAAGGTGTTGCTGATAAGCAGTTGAGCACTTTTATGGGTCAGATAGATCGCTAAATTTAGAGGGAAATGTATATTGGAATGGTTAAAAGAATTGAATACAGGCGCTTATCAAAGTGTCAAGAATCAGGAACCCCAAATAAAGAGAAGTATTAAAGGATGAAAATAAAGAATGAAAAAAAAAATATTGGTATTCAAAGTAGCAGATTAATCGAAGTAAAAAATAGAAAGTGGTTACCTTAAATTTAAATCATTCCCTAATTTGATTAATATTAATTGGGTATTGGTGATATCACATATCAAAATCATAGGTGTGGAAAGCCAGCAAATTATAAATGGTTAAATGAAAATTATGATTTAGAAATCATTGATTTACATTTTGTAAACGTCGACTATTTACTTAAAGTAATTTAGTTATCTTCTTGTAAAATCTTAATTATCATTTACTTTAATGACTTAGCAGTGTTTATCGAGCAATTATGATATTTTAATTAAACATAAATTTGATGAAATAAAATAAAGTAATATTGGTCGCTTGNGCCCATGGGTATTTTTCAATAAAATACAATGAATTTCACTGTTATATATTTATAGGATAAAGAAACACCACCTTACTGTCTCTCTATGAATGTTTTTTAATTTGATTAAGAACTTAGAACATTCGTTTGTAAAAAATTTGTTATTTTTTTCCATTCTATTTTGAGAAATTATAAATTTCTTAAATTGACTGACCCATAGGGCCAAAATAAAATCTGATAAGGAAAATTATGGCTTTAAAAAAATTAATAATTTCATATCATTAATATTTTTTTATTAAGCATGACCAAGGTGGAAGAAAAAAATTATTTAAATTGAGTGTTTACTGCTTTGTTGCAGTGAAATTATTATTGAAAATTGCGGGTTAAAAACTCGAGATATTTAGATGAGGGTGGATTATTCTATGATTGCTTAAATATGATTAGACATTAAGAGTATTTATTTGTAAATTAAATGGAAGGAGAAAATAAAGTGATTGGACAGACTTGATAGATTCTTCTGTTATAGATTACTACGCTACTTAAAGGATATAATGAAGCTGAGAATGGTGAGTAGTTGGATTTTAGAAGGGTACAATTTGGATAGTTGGAGTAATTTTTAAAAGGAGAATAAGAAGATTAAAATAAAAATGAATTAAAAGAATTTATAATAAAACTTGATTGGAATTGATGGTTATGGTTAATTGAAATGTGAATTGTGTTTGATAGGAGGACATAAATTTTTTTATTTACTTGTATTTTTGAAATACTTATATCATCAACATACAAATTAATGTTTCACAAAAATATGATGAGTTCTCATTCAAATATTTAGATAATAAATGGGACATTAAATAAGTTGTATAAAGGTGTTGCTGATAAGCAGTTGAGCACTTTTATGGGTCAGATAGATCGCTAAATTTAGAGGGAAATGTATATTGGAATGGTTAAAAGAATTGAATACAGGCGCTTATCAAAGTGTCAAGAATCAGGAACCCCAAATAAAGAGAAGTATTAAAGGATGAAAATAAAGAATGAAAAAAAAAATATTGGTATTCAAAGTAGCAGATTAATCGAAGTAAAAAATAGAAAGTGGTTACCTTAAATTTAAATCATTCCCTAATTTGATTAATATTAATTGGGTATTGGTGATATCACATATCAAAATCATAGGTGTGGAAAGCCAGCAAATTATAAATGGTTAAATGAAAATTATGATTTAGAAATCATTGATTTACATTTTGTAAACGTCGACTATTTACTTAAAGTAATTTAGTTATCTTCTTGTAAAATCTTAATTATCATTTACTTTAATGACTTAGCAGTGTTTATCGAGCAATTATGATATTTTAATTAAACATAAATTTGATGAAATAAAATAAAGTAATATTGGTCGCTTGATAAGTATTTATTTCAGAACATCATAGACTGTTACATCACCATCACAACAATCATCAACTCATAATTTTCTTTATTTCCTTAAATAAATTCTAAATACATTTACCTATTACTATTTTAGGAGTTCCCTTACTTTTTCATGGAGCTAAGAATATTTGATCAAATTAAGATAATAATTTTATTTCATTAACTCACTTGAATGAATAGAACAACTATCTAGGATTATTATAAACCAAAGGTAATTGTTTTATTAACTAAATAATAAATTGTCCAAAGTCATAGTGATTTACATTTCTTTAACAAATTTAGAAACATGAAATCAATTCGAACCTATCCCTCCAATAACATGCAAATTACGATTTAAACTGACTATCCTTTTGAATTTTACTTTTCCTTTCTTTATCAACATTTTAGGTTTTTTGTTTGATGCCAGAAAGTCGTTTCATCAAGATATATTGTTGAATAATGTTCTTTGATATAAGTTAATATCTCAATACAATATAATTTAACTTAAACTTCTCTTTATTTTTTATAAAATCCAGAGGAACCTTTTTGAATGTTATACATTTTCCTCCAGTTCATAAATATTTGGAATCAATTTTTTTCTTCAATATATTGCATTATATTACAATCCAATTAAAATTGAAATATATTCTGTGGTTAAACCTAATTAAGTTAATTTTCGAATAATTTAGACATTTTTCTTGATTAACCAATTTTTAGAAGATTTCTCTAATAGCTTTGATTTGGTGATTGAAAGCTATTGCTTCAAATTCATTAAGTTTCTAAATTTAATCGAACTTCCTTTTTTTATAATGGTTCTATAAAAATGCTCATATTCTATCAATTTATAACATTCACTTTTGCTTATATAATGTGGAAGACATAAGCACCCAATTTTGATTTTTACTGAGGTTTGAAATTCATCAATATAAATTTTCTTCTAAAGCATTTCGATCAATTTAATTCTCAAAATTTGATAACCAGAATCTAAAATACTTTTCTCTTCACTAGCAATTTTATAAAATAATAAATATATTATAACATTTGTGATATTAACAAGATTATTTCAAATATATTTCTACATAGAAATTTTTTTTAAATAGAAATATATATAGGGACTACGAAATTTATATGTCGAATTTTCATAAGAATGTAATTGATGATGTTATAATTAAATTTTTGAGCTTCATCTTTATTTTTTGAGTTCAAAAAAAATTAAACANTACATCACCATCACAACAATCATCAACTCATAATTTTCTTTATTTCCTTAAATAAATTCTAAATACATTTACCTATTACTATTTTAGGAGTTCCCTTACTTTTTCATGGAGCTAAGAATATTTGATCAAATTAAGATAATAATTTTATTTCATTAACTCACTTGAATGAATAGAACAACTATCTAGGATTATTATAAACCAAAGGTAATTGTTTTATTAACTAAATAATAAATTGTCCAAAGTCATAGTGATTTACATTTCTTTAACAAATTT